AAGTCAACGCATATATTTCAAGGGAGAAGCATAAGAAATGTTACCTAATAATTGTCTTGACTATGCTTTCCTATCTAAGCTTTATCATATCTCTTTTGGGTTTGATAAACTGCAAATTACTTTCTCATCGTCCTGCCTTTATTAATTTCYGTATTTTACTGAGTTAGTTTTGCGCAGCAAAATCGGCAGGACGACTACTGGCWGCAGGAGAATTTACACATTAAATCTTCGGGCATAGCTCGGTGGGTAGTYGCGGTAGGACAAACACCGGCAACATGACACCACTTTTCCACTGGGAAAGAAGGATCAATGTAGACATAGAAAATGTTAGCTGGCGTAAAGATATGTTAGCAACACGCAACACACTAAACATCTATACGGATGGCTCAAAAATGGACGATGGAGTTGCTGTGGGAATATACAGACAAAGTTAAGCATAAGGCAACTTTTAAATTGACGGACCACTGCATATTACAAGTTAAGGACTTTGCTAATGCGAAAGCCGGAGCTGGCCTCTAATGCAACKGCAAGCAAATYCAGAGTCAACATTGATATAGACAGTCAAGTAGCAATCAAGGCAGTAGCATCGTAGCCAAATGTGTCTTGGGAAGCTGGGAAGCAGTGCATAGAGTTGCAAGAAGTAAGCAACTTCAGTTCTACTAGGTGCCATGCCACAAAGGCATCGAAGATAATAAAATAGTGCCTGATATATTTCCAAGAATGGTGTGCGGCCGTGATCAATATTGGGAAACCCCTGCATTGACTATACGACGATCATGACARAGGCATGGTAAAGAAATACAAAACTCGATGGAACGAACTAACTGCGTGCAAAACTGCAAAAATCATGTAAAAACGGTAGGTCGGAAGTATACAAAATTTCTGCGGTCACTGGATTTAAGCGACTGAAGAAACATGATGCTAATACTAACTGGTCACTGTSTGGCGACAACACACGAACGCATAAGGGATCTGACGGATTGAAAAGACTGCAGGAAATCTCTGGAGCAGGGCACCGAGAAAACAATAGAGCATCTCTTGTGGACTTGTGCCGCATTGGCAAGACTGTGCTGTAAGCATCTGGGTCGTCACGGTATGATACACTGGCGGAGATATCGATGGTGAGGCCCCAGAATCTGTTAAAATTCCCGTCAAGCGCAGGCATCTTAAACAATGACCACTCTTGGACTTCTTAACAACTGAAGTCCATCTGGTATCGCAAAGGTCTAAACTGGTCTATGCGTGACTTATACGAAACATGAATAACCTAATCTAATCTAGTTGAATATATGTATATATATAAAGATCGAAGAACTAGTAAAATCTTTAGCCTGAAAAGAAGAAAATATGTTGAAAAGCAATAAAATATATTTAAATATATTATTTATTTATTTATTTATTTCAATATGACCTGTAAATAAATTTACAGACATACTAGAAAAAAAAACGTTCTGCTTACGCCTTCGTCCCATTTTGTATAGATAAATATTAATTTACTTATATGAACATTTCAACTCTAAATTAATTTTAATAGTATATGAGGTAGATATTTCTTATATTTTCGTAATCCAGTGTTGCTATAGCGGTATGCAAATCAACATTTTGCGAGGTGTCATTGTAGCAGTTTATTAGGTGTTGCTTGGTCACGGTATCATTACAGTTCATGCAAAGTGGTGGTGATTCTTTTGAAAGTAGATATTCGTGCGTTAGTTTTGTATGGCCGACTTTAAGTCTCATCAAAACAAGTTGCTGGTTTAGATATGTATATTAAATTTAAGATTTCACTAAATTTCCTATTATTTTTCATTTAATAAATAAATAAATTTTCAACTAATTTCCATATCACATTAACCCTGCTCTCATTCTCCACAATTACCATAATTCTCTGCGCTGTAAATAGTTTCCCTTTATCAAAATTTGTTAAGCGTCATAAGTTTAGAGTAACGAAGAGCTGCAGTGCCATAAATTTGATATGCCCATATCAACCGAGGGTCTCAGAGAATATGATTTGTTTATCGATAGCTTCCTGATTAAACGAAAGTAATCTCTGTCATACGTGCGCGCTCTTATCCCTATCTATCGACTTGATGACGTTACAASTTTAAATAAGTTTGTTTTCGGGTGCGAGACTCCAAAGCGTTGTACTTCTTAAGCGTGCCTCCTCAAAACCTATATAATCAGTGCATACACATACACACACATATACACGCATTGGACTTTTGTAATCTTATATGCACTTACACAGATATATACATATATATATATATATATATATATATATACTATATGATATAGATATAGATATAGTCCGCCGATAGATAGATATATATATATGTGTATGTATATGTCTACCGTACGGATTCGGTAGACTGTATGCCCAACTGACCCAGCTAGATAAAAGTATCTAATCTTCGTTTTTTAGCAATATTTATAAGATAATGAAGATTTGCTATCAATTCCGTTTCCATTCATTCAGTTGGTAGGATATCAGTGGGTATCTGTAACATAACTGTATTCCAGTATCAGTAAGTATGGTATGTTTGAACTGATAATGTACCGAGATAATAAGCGATAATAATTTGAATTTGAATTTTTCATTTGCTCCTTTAACTTTGGGCCCATTTCGCTGGTGAATCTAATCACAGTTTGTGAGTGTAATTGGTGTTTTTAACACATAAAAACAGGAAGCAACAGATATGCRTTTTACGACGTAGCGTCGTTGATCGAAAAGAAAGTTGAGGAAAAGTGTCTATCGATCGAGGTGAATAACGGAAATAAAAGGGGAATTTATCATATATTTTTTAAATTTGATCTTGTAGATTTATTCTACAACTTCAGCTGTGACTTGCAGATAAAAAAAAAATAATTATTAATTAATTAACTGGCGTTTATAATTAATTATAATGTAAAATATATATAATAGTGAAAGTGAAGTATGGGATGTGTCACTGTGTGTATTTTATTGAGTAAGCCAAACAAAAAAAAGAAAATCAATTATTCAGTGCAATTACATAAAGGAGCATAAAGAGTTTGGCAGCTTACATGAAAATATAAAATTTTAATAAACTTATAGAAAAAGATATCAAAAATGTAATTTATCAAAACAGAATCATAAATTATATGCTATTTGCATATGCCGTTACAAATATGTATATGCGACATTTAAAAACATGTATTGAGTGTGACTAAAGACAAGAAGTGAAATTTATATGTGAGCAAAATATACACACTGCATACTAGTTAGCTCTGCTGATTCTCTCAACTTGAGTAAATAAAAAAAAAAAACAGTCGAAATCAATGAAAACCAAGTCTATTAGACATACAACATTTAAGGGTTAAAAATCATCCATAAGCCGGCAGTTTTTGAGTTATCGATCTGAATGTTTGCACACATTGATTTTATCTCAAGACGTAATTTATTTGTCGGTATTGCTAATATCGGACCACTATATGGCATAGCTGCCATACAAAGTGTACAAACAAAACTAAGTTCTTGTATGGAAAACATATTTCCCTGAGGTGATATCTTTGCGAAATTTTGTATAAATTATTTTTTGAAAGAAGACTGTAATATCCGAAAGTTTTTTTAAGATCGGACTACTATAGCACATAGCTGCCATACAAAGTGAACGAAAAAAAAACTAAGTTCTTGTATGGAAAACATATTTCCCTGAGGTGATATCTTTGCGAAATTTTGTATAAATTATTTTTTGAAAGAAGACTGTAATATCTGAAAGTTTTTTTAAGATCGGACTACTATAGCACATAGCTGCCATACAAAGTGAACGAAAAAAAAATTAAGTTCTTGACTTCTTTATTAGTGATGGGTATGCTAGCTTCGGTACATGTAAATTTGACGCTTATTTTCAATAATTTTTAGATTTCTTCATTAATCCCTTTCTTCGAAATTGTCTAAGGAGAATTTTTGTCAGTCTGTTACAAGTAGATTTAAGGCAATTAATTCAAGCGGCGGCATGAAATAAAATCAGCAATAAATTCCGTTTGTCTGCAGAATGTCGCATACATATGCTACACATACATATGTATATATTCGAGAAAATAAAAAATGGAGAAATGAAGCACATAATGCTAGATATTTAAAGACTTACTGCCTTATCTGAAAGTCTATGCAGAAAGGAAAARAATAATAAGGCAAGAATACAAGGTATTTTAGATAAGAGAATAATGAGAAATACACGTGCGTACTCAAAGAGAGATGGAGAAAGGCTTGAATATTTTTGAAATACTAACAATATTACTCATGAAAGACAAATGCTTAGTTGGACGCCAAAAACAGGCACTATTTTAAGGGTTGTCTGCCTAAAATGATCAGGGAYTCACTTAATTAACATTACATGTTGGGGAAATGAAGTGAGAAAGCATAGTAATGAAGCCACGTACATACAGTACATAAGYAAAATTGTGTTTTCTTTAGGCAGCGGCATTGGCACAGGCGAAATGTTACTAAATGACATATGTAGCATGCATATATTTGTAAGGACATCAGGAAAAGCATGTAAATATAGACATACGACACAGCTTCACAACTTAACAACTAGATAATTGATAACCTTTTCAACTTCCTACGAAAATGTATGGCACATTGCATTTATACTTACAACCCCTTTCGGACTTACTTTTACTTTGTAAAAAGTGTATTAGAACGCACTCAGCAGCTTGTGTGTGGCATGTTGCRCTTGCATTTTTGAGTCATTATCAACTTGCTTGTCTGACAAGCGCATAGATACGAGTATATCTTTTACATACTATACTATATGTTCTTACATACATACATATATGCACGTGGGTGTATGCGCAGCTGCGGTTTGTGAGAAAAGTCGACCAGAAATACAGTAAATAACTTTATCAAACATATTATCTTATTTATAAGCATTATCGTACCGTGTGTTCTTTTACTTCTTGATTATTATTATGTATTTTTTTTTTAAGGTTTCCCTCTCCCTATCTATGAAAATTTTACTTAACACACAACAGCAACATCAGAAACACAGAAATTTTCATTAAAATTTCAGTTATCATGCAGTTGTGGTTTTAGTAGGGAAAGTGTAGGAATTGCCTTAAGTGCTGAGAATGCCGAGAATGCCGAGAAAGGGTGTTGCCTTAAGTGGCGCAACAATTTTTGCAAGCGAACAACGAGAAAACTGCAATAAAAAAACAAACAAAGTTTAAGCCAATTGTCACATGACAATACTAATATTAAGCAAACATTTGAAATACTCAAGWAAATTCAAGTAAATTGTGTTATTACATGCATATAACGGTGTATATGTGCTACACATGTGAAAAAAGTGCTTTGAAAAGTTAGAGCTGCTCGTAAATTCTCTGCTAAGAAGGCTGCTTTTAAAAGCATTCATATGTATATGTGCAGTGTGATGGAAATATATGCAGACTAACGATGAAATGTTTTTTTTTTAATTTTGTTTTAATTTTAAAATAAATATTTATAATTTATTTAACGAAATCTTTTATAAAAAAAAATAAAAATTGTGTGAATATAGTGTGGCGAAGTGCTTGTACATACGTAATTATGCATGTATGTAAATGTATGTATGTACATATGCATTTTGGGTAGTCGTCGAAAAAGTGTTTTCGTATTTTGACAATACTATATATGTATGTCGTTGCAGTCGTATATCTCCAGTATTCAGTGTCATACCATATTTAAAACTATATCTTCATTCATTTAAAAATTAATTCGAGAAAGTTGAAACAAATTACATATTTATTTATTTATTTATTAGTATAAATATAWAAAATATAAGTTGAAGTTTGATTAGAAATGCGAAAAGACTTTTTCGACCACCCAATATATGTATACATTCATACATACTTACATATATTCTATAAGATACCAAAACTGTTTGTCATGAGATCATGAAAATATTAAAGCGCGAAAAGCACCTTAGGATCAAAAAAAAAAGCACATAGCATTCATTGATATATAAGCTTATATACATAAAGTAATATTTCAAGCCTTTCTTTTAAACAAAAAAAAAAATTGATAAAAAAAATATTCTTTATAAAAAAAATTTCAAAAAAATTATATTGAAAAAATCGCTGAAATATCGTTAAAATCTAGCAGCCATATCATATATACATTTTCATGCATATACATATGTATTTATATACTTTTACGCTATCGCCAGGCATTCGACATGCGACTCCATTTTGTAAAATAAAACAAAGATGGTCGCGATAAGGCAGAATAAATAACAATCAAAAGTAAAAAAGACCTAAGTAATAAAGCCAACAAAATATACGAGCAAGGCATACGCGTACACCACAACTGCAACAAACAATAAAAGCAAAATAATATATGAAATGAAATAAAAAATGAAATATTGTGACTACTGTTACCGCAATCGCTTTCGTACATGACGGCCAACTCTGYTTTGCGCCATAGCCAGTTCAAGTGACAGCTCGTTAACGATGACAACAACACGAGAGCATGACGTCCTACCGCGCCCAACCAAAGCCCTACGTGCCAGTCAGCAACCAACGCACACACATACACACATACATATGCACGCCAATAGGTTTGAGAAATTTATGTGCTCAGCAAAGCACCACTTCAAATGGCAACCAACCCCAAATGCGTAGCTACCAATGTAAGCTCTGCAAATACCTGCTTCGTTGCTTCGTGGATGGTGTACCATAGTTGTGCCGTTGGTAGGCGTTTACGTACCTACATATGTATGTATGTTGGCGGCTGGCGGGCGATCCCCTCATCCTGCACGACGCGTTGCTTGTGTGTGCGGCAATAATTGAAAGAGTTTATTGCTGTCACAAAGCACTAACGGACTTATTACATTATGGAATTATGGCATTTCTGTTATAAATTCTTTAAAAAAAAAATCGGCAAATGGAATTTTCTTTAGAATTATTGCGGAAATAACATACGAGTACGTGGGCAATGGAATCGGGGTGGAATTAACCAAATTCTAGGAAAGGTAAGTGAAACTATTATAAATTATTTGTGTATTATTATTATTATTATTATTTTTGTCCATAATTCACGTCAGCTTATGTATGCATGTAGCATTGAATGTAAGCATGTACATATATCAGTTAAGTTCTGGTTAACTTAACCAAGATGTCTTCTTTCGTTAAAGAACATTTTTTAACCAGAACTTAACTAACAGAGGGCTGCTAGCCACTTGTTGAGAAAAGCACCCTTAAAGTGCACCAGGGTTTTTCGGGTAAAAAAAAGCTTCTTTTCAACAAATTTTTTCTCATATAAGAAATTAGATATTTTATTAGAATTGTCTATTGTTCTAAACATACACTATTAACAAAGAAATTATGAAACTTTTGGAAAAAAATATTTTAAACTCGACCATTGCGACGCCATTTCCGAGAACCCCTCGGAAAAAAGACGAGGATAACTCCTTACAGGATCATCTAAAGTGAGAATAAATGCATGTTTTAGTTAAAACTTTAACTTAGAATTTGGGCGAAGGGAAAATAAGTGAAAATTGGATTTTTAGCCGACATTTTTACAAAAACACTAAACTTTCAATGAAAATTCTCGACATTTTTTTTTTTTCAAATAGCTGTAATTGAATAAAATCCTTCATCCAAGTCTTTAAGAATTGTATCTCACAGACCTGTGTAAAATTTCATGAACACCGGTTGAGTAATTCTCTAGAGACTTTTGCCAGCCGACTTCAAAAACACAGTTAAGAGAAAGAGGCGATTAAGACGGCGCAGCCTAGCCTAGCTGGCCTCGACCGCGCAACTTTTCAAGGCTGCATCTCCGAAACTATTACACTTATCAACTTAAATATTTAGGGCAATATTCAACAGTTTAAAATTAAATAAAATTTAAAAATAAACCAATATTTTTTTATGCCGTGAAACCCATATATCACCTTAAAGAGTCACCTAGTGGAATATCTCGAAAAAATTGTAACTACGAGTTTTGCACATGTCGATAGTCTATGCCATCAAAACTAATAGACTAAAATTTAAAATGAATATTTTCAAGATTTTTTTAGTTTTTCAAGTGTAGGCGTYAGTAGTCAATGAAAATAACCAACTTATATTTAAGTATTTTARTCTGCAAAAGTAGGTACCAAAAGCATCTTCAGTTTAACAGACCACTGCAGTGTCTTCCAAAYTTAAATCATAGCAATTAAAGAGAACTTTATTGTTCTGACAAGAAGTGTGCTCATAATAAAGAATATATATATATATAGTACATACATATGTATATATTTATACATAAAGATAGCTAAGAGTCTATGAAATCACCAAAGTCTCTTATGCTTTTTTCAATATTAGGGATAATGTCTTGATTTCTTAGAGCATCTAACATTCTATTCCACTATAAACCTGTAATGGGTTGAAGCGCATAGAGATATTCCAGGTAACTATGAAGCAAACGAACTACACAAAACAGGCATCACCCTACAATTAGACTTCAGAAGAGATGGACTTTATATGCCTCCCGCTATTTGTAGATATTTAATCGACAAACATGTCATTTATTTTTCTGAGTCTCGGTGAAATCAATCTCCAACCTTTTTAAAAAAAAATTTGAAAAACGTGTGCGGCCCATTCCGACAATTAAAAATTAAAAGAAAATATATAAGAATTGCAGTAGGTCACTCTAATTTGCAGACATGCTAGTAGACTATGAACACCATATAACGATTATTGGAAGCTGTCGGGAGGTAGAAGAGGAGGAGACTATAAAACTTCTTCAATGCGAATCTAAGACTGTATATAAGAAAAGAATCGCAATTATGGGTGGAGAGTTCTTGACGACGTAAAATATAACTTATCGTTTCGTACTGATGAAATTCATTGGAAGTACAGGGTGGTTCAGAGATTAGACAATAGAGGAGGGCGGTTAACCGGTGGTTAACAATGGGGCTTGCTAAAAGTTTAGGTGCTTTGTTAGATAGCTACTCTACCTACCTACCTATCAAATGCATCAATTTTGTCAACTTTGTTTTACTTTGTTTGTCATTGCATCATCTAGTCGGGATTTGCTTTTTAGGTACGGCCAAAATCACTGTCGCAGCGTGAGGCCTATTTATTAAGGTGACAAAAAAAAAAACAATAAATCGAATATTATTCAATTTTTGTTCTGTTTTATTTTTCTGTATAAATAACATTGTAAAACATTTGATATAGATTCAAAAATTGCCTGTTTTAAGGATATGACACCAAAATGCTCCTTAATAAATAATATGTGTTTAAAAAATATACCATGCGGATAGGCTATTTTTATGAGAACCTTTGTCAATACATCGGAATAGCWTACTAGAACCGAATACCATATCTCAAAATATTGTTAATTCAAATAGAACAGACCTTGAAATGTGAAAACCAAAATAATAAAGTTTGTATTAGCATATTTGTGCGTAATTTCCAGTCTTCATGTGATTGATGGTTTTTCTCCGACAGAACACGGCATATGAAAAACATGTTTCAGAAATTTTCTCATCAATCTCTCGATCTCTAAGTACATGCAGTACTAAGTATGCACATACAAGTCTATAGCCAAAAATGTATGTAATACTATGAGTAAAAAATAGTAAAACTTCTTTTTAATTTAAATTTCGGGCGAAAACGTTCAGAATGTTGGAAAACGCCTTCAGTGATAATTGTTTGTCGTGAGCAAGTTTTTTTGCTTAGTACATTATTGTGAGTGTCGAGAAGACGACCTGGAAACAGATGAACAATAGGCCGAATATGGTGTTGAACAGAACGCGAAAAAACCATGTCAAAGCAGGTCAAAAATTAAGACTATGTTGACAGCTTTCTTCGATTATCGAGTTTTGGTGCACTCTGAATTAGTGCCGACCGGCCAAACTTTCAACAAGGAATCCTATTTCAGTATTATGCGTCGTTTGCGCGAAGCTATTTGTAAAAAGAGGSCGGAATTATGGGCCGACACCGACGCATGCTACATTAATTCTTCGTCACTTTTTCGCCAAATTTTCAACCGTTATCGTGCCGCAACCACCGTATTCGCCTAACTTAGCTGGCTATTTAGCAAGCTCGTACTACTGCTCCGGGGAAAGCGTGTTGAAGTCATTAAAGTTGAATCGCTAACTGAATTGAAGGCGGTGGAAAACAAATTTAGCTAAAGTCCCCCTTTGAGAGGAGTGATATAGATTTTAAAGAAATTTAAAATTATGAACAAAGTCTTACTAGTCTCGACTCGAAATCGGGGCCCGTCAGTTACAATTCATATTCAGTTAAGGACTGATTTAAATCTGTTTGGCTTTCTAGTAATATTTGTATATTACTTTTTATAAGTGTGTAATGTCTGTCAGTACTCATTTCGGAGAATTTTTTAATAATCCCATTATTATAGACTATATTTTAAATAAATAAAACTAAAAACACTTCTTGTGCAAGCGACATATCTATCAACTTAACTGAGTTATACAAAACTTTTCTGATTTTTAGCCATACAAGTTTTTTCATTTGTTCCTAATTTTGATAAAGCTTTTATAGCACATATATGAATATACGGTATATACATACATATAATTATAAACAACAAGTGTAGCATTAATATTGACAAAAACTACTATTATTACTGTAATCGAGAACAGTACAGTTAGCGCACTTCGCAAATGTTAATCATAAATAATTAGAATATGAACTAGTGTGATTCATATTTTTTACTAAGAATCCCAAATCAAATTTTTGTGGGAGTTTCTGATTAACTTCCGCTCAATTTTTATTCACTTATTTTGTATAAAAATTTCTGTAAAAGTATCACTCGTGTGTTTTAATGAGTAACAATATTATTTTTTATTTAAGCTAAGTGAAATCTCACTGAATCCAACGAAATAATATAGTGATGTAGTGGGTGTCCCCTTGTATGTATGTATATGTAGCATATTTTATACAGTGGGAAGAGTAAAAAAGCCTTTGCGCTCAACATAAAAAAAACGAAGAAGTACGATTTTTTTTTTTCAATTTAATATGAACAAAATCATTTGAAACTACAGTGAACCAAAACAAAAAACTTTTTACTTTGAAGTTACTTTTCTGGTAAATCATTAAAATTTTATTTYTTAATTAATTTTCAAAATGTAATTGAAATATACATATTTTTAAATATTCAGTTCGCGCCACAAAATCAGAAAATTCAAAATAACTCCATTTTCGAAAACAACAAAAAGAACTTGTGCATTTTGCATAAATTCCCTTTAAGGAAAATAATACTATATATAATATGTACACAATTGCTCTCTGGCTTACAGTCTTTTATTCATAGAATGCACCAAACTTTGTTCAGTAGGTATATTTGCTCATATTKCCTGAAGAGCAACCTTAACCTATTTTTTGCTATTAACTTTGTACTCTCGTAACTTCATCGGGATTGAGGTCTAGTCACCTGAACTCTGCGRAGGATCCAGAGCATTCATGAACCAATAAAGCAGAATGCTTCGAATCGTTATTCAATATTAAAATTAAGTTTAGATACTGAGGAAATCAAATTATTTTTAATATTGCCTAGTAGCGATTCCTCACAGAATTCCGTCGATAAAAATAAGGTCACCAACAAAGTCTGTAGAATGTAATGGCCTTGTTGCACATCCCATTCAACTGCAAAACCTTTTGGCGAGTCATCAATCATGTATGGCGTCTCGCATTATCTTGGTGAAACACTACACGTTTTCTTCACAATATACTTCCGAATCACTTTAATATTCTACCAAGTAGACAACGTAACTTTTTCTTAATGACAATTGGCCTTGGAAATGGTTTGAGCTGGTTCATCCTTTTCAAACTATGACCTCTTGCGCTTAACATTCTTGTAAAAAACTCACTTTTCGTCGTCTGTAACAATGCGTTTCGAAAATGAATCACTTTTTTGACGYTTGATAAGCAAATCACAGTTATTAATGCGATGACACAGACTTCGTTTTGTAAAGCATGAGGAACACATACATATGTATATCAAGCTTCGAAATTAATC